CTGGTGCAGCACCGTTGGCAGACTGGGACTTTTGGCGGGCTCAGCAAGGCAGAGACAGCCTGGACAATTCCTAATGGCTTTGGAAAGCCAATAGAATTAGACTCTATTCAAGAGAGTCTATTCTATCGGCTTTCAAAAGCCAATAGAATAAAAGGGAGTAGCACAGCTAAGAAAAAGGGGGGAAAAATGGCGGACTGCGTTGTTTGGCGACCCCCATGAAATGGTCGTTCGACCCCAAATGGGGTCCTGACCCACAGGTTGAGAACCACTGTTCTAAAGTTTTAGCAATTCCCCCCGCTAGGTTTCTGTTCGATTCTGCCTTTTTAGTTATCAACAATGCTCCTCCATTTCCAGCCTTGTGTCATCTGCAAATTTGAAGAGCATTCCTTCTATTGCCTCATCTAGGTAATTTATTTATTTTTAGTTATCAAATTTATAGGGCTGCCCATTTTATACAAGGGAACTTTGGACAGTGTGCAATAAAACCAACCATTAAAACCGATTATAAAATCCAATCAAAGAGGCACTCAAGAGGTAAACTGGCAAGCAAGGAAACTCACGGCACAAAGTTCAGCACATACACACCTAGGAACATCCATAACTCCTGCGCCACTGCACTGTGCAGCAGCCAAAGCCTCTGGACCAGGCATGTCAGACTCGTGACGTCACACAACATATCACAACTTTTTCCCCATTGCCGGCAATGGGGTGGGTGCGGTTTTGGTGTGATGCATCCGGCCCGTGGGCCGGCAGTTTGACATGTCTGCTCTGGATGCTCCTCCAGGGCAGCCCTATACAGGTCGTGGAGGTGACCAAAGCAGGAGAAACTGTGAGATGAGTCTCATGCCGAAGATGGGTGCCCCACAGGAAGTTGCGCTAAGGCCCTCCAGCCCTTCTGCTCCTTGAGCAGGAGTCATGAGTCTAGAAGGACCCCCAAACTGCACATTGGGTCTATTTGGGATAGTATAACCTCTTCCAATACTTTATAATTTACTTAAACAATATATATGGCTCCCCATCTCAAGTCTAGTGATTTTTGCTCAGATAACAATTTAACAATGCCCTCTACCTGGTGTAAGGAATAAAATTTTAGAAAAGTGAAGTTAAGTGACACGTAATTCTGTAAAATTTCTACATGTAGACTGTTAAGATTTCTACACAAAATTTTCTACACATAGGCTGCAAGATTTCTACACAATTTCTACATGTACACGTACCTTGTAAGATTTCTACACGTAGGCTATAGCAGTGGTTCTTAACCTTTTTGACCGAATCGCCCCCTTGAGCCAATGAGGTTGTCATCGCCCCCCTCCCCCAACATAACCTCTCAATCACAACATAGGAAATAATTCTTCAATTTATGCAAACCCTTTTTTTTTTTTTGTTTTCTTTAAAATTGTCATCAGGACATATCGATGCAAATAATTTATTTCCAGTCTTTTCCCCATATCTCCGATAGCCCAACAGATTAAAATGGAACGCCCACTGATAAACTGCTCATAACTTTAACTGATTTAGTCTGCCAGGGGCTTTTAAACTTTGCAATACTGCAGACCTCTAAAAATGTGAAATGAATTTATATAAACTTTCATTTCTCTCCCCCAAAATAAAGCTAATAATTTTGTGGATGTGAGGGCTGGGCAAGGTTCGAATATTCAGAGACTTTTAATAATTACATTTTAATCTATATATCACAGGAGTAGTCAAGCTATTTAGACCCACAACTGCTAGCTTGAAATGAGTGAAAATGAGAGATTTTCAGGGGGAGTGCTGGCTGTGTTTTCACTGTGCCTTTAGAGCAGACTGGGTGGGTGGTCAAATCTTTCCTCTCCCTCCCTCCACACTTCTTTCTCCAGGTGAGGAGAGAGAGAGGGGGGGGGAGAGAGGCACTTGTGCTGCCTCTCTTTCTCTCTCTCTTTTTCTCTTTCCCCTCTCCCTCTCTCTTTCCTCTCCCTCCCTCCCTCCCCCCTTTTTTCTCCAGGTGAGGAGAGAGGGGGGGACAGAGGCACTTGCGCTTCCTCTCTCTTTCCTTTCTCTCTTTCCCCTCTCCCTCTCTTTCCTCTCCCTCCCCCCTTCTTTCTCCAGGTGAGGTGAGGAGAGAGAGAGAGAGAGAAAAGGCAGAGGCCACCGAAGGGGCGGGGAGGGGCGGCAGGAGGCAGCAGAAGACCCCCTGTCGCCGCAGGAGGCACCCAGCTCTGCTGCCTGCTGCTCACGGTCATGTTGGCAGGCCGTCCCACGTGCTGCTGGCGTCCCCAGGCTCAAGTCGGGGCCACGGGGCATCTGCGAAATGCCCCGCCCGTCGGCTGCATCGCCAAGCCTCCCAGGGCATCTGCGGAACACCCCCATCAGCTGCGTTGCCAAACCTTCTCCTGCGCCGCCGGCATCCTCGGTCGGAACCAGGGCAATGATCCGCCTCCTGCCAGGACCAACGCTGGAGCCTCCTGTGCTGCCGGTAGGTCCATTGTGGAGGAGTGGGGCCGCTCCGCACCGCGCAACGCTCCCGGCGATCTGCGACCCACCAGCGTTGCCTAGGGAGCGATGCCCCCGCTGGCCGCCGGCCCAGCCGGGACTGCTGCCCTGGAGGGCAGCAGGAGGAAGAAGGGAGGAGAAGGAAGGCAAGGAAGCTGGCGCCGGGCTCCAGGAGGAGGCGTTCCCGTGGGTCTGGCCGGGGCTCTTCTGTTGCTGATTGGAAAATGCCTCCCCTCTCCCTTTCTCTCCCCATCTTCTACTCACCTCACATTCTTCGCCGACAAAGCAGCCTTCCCAGTCAACGGTCCCGCGGCTGGGGATCGCTCGGGGTCGTGGCTTGCAGGAAGTTGAGGCTCTGGCGGGCTGCTTCCAGCGGGGATCCCGTGGATCCCCCACGCGGTTCCCCAGCCACATGCACCTGGGACGGGGCCAGCCAGGGAAACGGACTTCCTGGCTGCACTTCTCCCAGGGGGCGGGGCACCCAGGCGCAGGGCCAATCAGGAGCCCTGCAAGGGGGCAAATCCGCACCAGAGAGAGAGAAGCACAAGTGCCTCTCTCTGTCTCTGTCTGTCTCTCCAAATGGCGGAGGAGGCTCGGAGCTACAGGGGTAGGCTCAAAAGTGTCCCCAAAACTTCTCACTCTATCACCCCCATATCGCCCCCTTTTTGTTCCATCGCCCCCCTGAAAAATGAAATTGCCCCCTGGGGGGCGATATCGCCCAGGTTAAGAACCACTGGGCTATAGGATTTCCACACTAGGCTGTAGGATTTCATGCTAACATACATATAAGGGAATAGGTGAAGCAAAATAGTAAGGGGCAGGGATAATGTATTTTGTTTAGGCGATTCTGATAAGATTGTAACCTCTAAAGCTCAGCCAATGAAGCCACAGAGGAGGGGCCAAGGCTTCGGGATAGAATGCATATAATGTGTGTCTTTGTTGTGACTAGGTGTGGCTCAAATATTTATTTGGAGTCCACCACGCTTTGCAAACCGTTGTGTCCAATAAATCTCTGTCTAATTTCAACTTGCTGTTTGATATTATTCAGCGGGCTAGAATTTCTACCAACCCTGGGGCTGCCCTTGAAGAGTATTTGGCTGGTGCAACTGGTGCAGAGTGCAAGGTGGGCGCGCGTAGTCTTGGGAACACCTCCGGTTGCACGTCTAACACAGTCAGTGTGCGAGCTGCACTGGTGGCCAGTTTGCTTTTGGATCCAAGGTGTTGGTAGTTACCTTTGAAGCCCCCCCATAGACCCAGGGTATCCGGAGATGGGACCAGACCATGCCAATCGCGCTAGCGGGAGAGGCCTGTTAGGGAACCGAAGCAGGCAGGTCAAGAAGGGAGCTTTTCTTGCCTTGGCCCAGCCCCTGCGGCCCCGTCTGGCCCCAGAGGTGAAAGCTGCCCCCTCCCTTTTGGCCCTACTGGGGGGGGGGAATCAAAGATGGGCTTTCTTGTCTGGAGGCCTCTGAGGGCCATTCCCCTCCCACCCACCTCTTTTGGTTCTTGCAGGGGAGCTTTTAGCGCAGTTTTGAACATTTTAATGCCAGTTCCTTTTAGCCTTTTAAAATTATTCTTCACTTGTTCCTATAATTTATATGCCACCCGGAGTCACCTTGCAGGACAGGTGGGGGGCATAGGAACCTAACAAGATATGCAAACGGGACCCCCACCCACCCACCCACTCCAGATTCTGTCTGGGCCCAGTTCCCATCACTGCCATCCTTGTTTAGCTGAAGGCAGCATAGGGCGTCGGGCCCACCAGGGACCCCCGTCCCAGAAGAGGCCACTGCCGCTGCCGCCCCATCACCTCCTCAAATGCAGGGCCTCCTCCCAACTGACGGGGGGGGGGGAAGCAGCTACAACCCGCCTCCCTAGAGCAAAGGGCGTGTCTTTTGGGGGAAGGGGGTCTCCCACACTGCAGAGTCTAGGGCAGGGGTCTTCAAACCTGGCCCTTTTATGACTCGTGGACTTCAACTCCCAGAATTCCTCAGCCATATATGCTGGCTGAGGAATTTTGGGAGTTGAAGTCCACGAGTCATAAAAGAGCCAAGGTTGCCTACCCCCTGCCCTAGAGAATATATCAATGCCCTCTTCCCTGTGGCAGCCTTTCAGGAATTGGGGGACAGGGGTCATAAAAGGGCCAAGTTTGGAGACCCCTAGTCTAGGGAGTCCACCGAGTTGGATCTCCGCATATTTGAACCCAGAACCCTGCCCGGCAAAGGGGAATTCAAGGTAGAGCAAAATAAGGCTGGAAAAAAAGAACAATGGTGTAGCTACAGCCAACCACGTACAGCCAGCCACTTCTCCGGACTCCTTACTCGGGCAAAGGGGTTGGACTAGATGACCTTCGAGGTCCCTTCCAGCTCTGCGATTCTGTTACGAAGGGGGACTTTAACGAACTGCGGGCGGGGGGGGGCGACACCCAAGAGAGCAGCGGAGGCCTCGAGAGCCTGGGCCAAGGATCACCCGGCCTGCAGCGGCTCGGGCAGAGAGTCCCCCCACCTCAATCCCCCCCCCCCCGGGACGGGTACCTGGAGGCGGAGGTGGCGTCGGGCGGGAGCGGGTTGCGCAGCGTCACCACGCACTCCAGCGCCTCCCCCGCCAGGAACGCGGCGCCCCGCTGCAGCGACGCCAACACCTCGATCATGGCCGCAGGGGGCGGGGAGGGCCACGTGGACACGCGCGCACGCGCACCAACTCGCGCTCTCTCTCTTCCGCTCTCTCTCTCTCTCTCTCTCTCTCCCCGGGCGGGGCGGGGCGGAGCCGCCGACTAGGCCCCGCCCCCTACACTTTCAGGCTTGGCACCGCTGGTGCGTCGGCTGTGCAGCGGCGGGCGATCCCGCCATGGCGACGGGGGGCTGCGCGGGCTGCGGGCGGGGGGGCACTCGCGGGGAGGGGACGGCGGCGGCTGCGGAGGAGCTGCTGATGAGCCGCTACGAGGGCCGGGCGGCGGGGCGCGGCGTGCCGCGGTTCGGGTGGCGGCTGTGCCTAGCCCACCGCTTCGCCGAGCGCAGGAAGCCCCTGCAGGCCGGCGACGTCTCCCCCGGGCAGGCCTTTCGGCACCTGGGGCTGGCCTTCAGGTAAGGGGGGCCCTTCCCCCGGGAGGGGGGAGGCGGAAGGGGGCGCCCCTCCCCAGGCTTGAGACGCTGCCCCCTCCCCCCCAGGTACCTCGGCTGGTGGTACCGGAAGACGCGCGTGGAGAAGCGGCAGCCCTTCATCGACCTGCTGCACCCGCAGCCCCTGCGCCCCATCTACGGTAGGGCCCGCCCGGGAGGGTGTGGGAGAGCGAGGCTGGGGGAGGGGAGGGGGGGAGCTCTGACCGTCTTCCTCTCCCTCCTCCTCCTCCTCTTGTTCCTTCTCCGCAGGCTGCCCGCTGGGGGGCCTGGGCGGCGGCACCGTCACGCGGGGCTGGCGCGGGGACTTCTGCAGGTGGCAGCTCTTACCGGGCCTCTACCAGCATCGGACCGTGGTGGCGGACCAGGTTTGTCGGGCGGGGGGAGCAGGAAGGAGCGCCCTGGGGCTTCCCCGGCGCGGCCCTTCGCCGCGGCGCCTTCCTCACGGGGTCTCTGTGTTCCCGCCCCAGTTTACGGTCTGCCTGCGCCGGAAGGGCCGGACGGTCTACCAGCAGGTGCTCTCCACCGGGCGACCCAGCCGGCTGCAGGGCTGGAACTGGGGCTTCTGTGGCCACTACGCTTTCTACCACGCGCTCTACCCCCGCGCCTGGACCGTCTACCAGCTGCCCGGGCAGGAGGTTGTGCTGACCTGCAGGCAGATCACACCCATCATCCCGCACGACTATCAGGTGAGCTCCCTAGTCTTCGCTGTGGGGAAGGGTGGCCCTGGTGGTTCTAAGCCCGGGGCTCTCCTGTATGTGGGACGGCACCTGCTCTTCCAGGGAAAGGGACCCCCAAAACCTTCCTGAGCCGGGATCTTCCCACAGAGACCCCCTTAATAGGAGTGCCCCATGCTGAGGAAGCCCCTGTCCCTCCCCCCTGCACTTGCAGGTCTGCTTCATGCCCCTCCCTTTGGCTTCTCAACCACACACCTGCTGGAGTTCTTTGTTCCAGCAAATTTCTTCATCTGGAGCTTCTGCTTGGAGAGAATATCTCCTCCTTAGGCTCTGTAATTTTTAATCGCTGTCAAAATCTTTGAGTGATTATATATTAAGTTCAGGCTTGAAGTTGCAACTTAAAAGGTAGCTGAGCCAGCTGTAGAGTGAAGCAGGCTGTAGATGTGCCCCTCCAGGTGACCACCGTGCCCCCTTCCGGAGGCCCTTTTCCAGTTCATGGAGGTCAAGGGCCAACCAGGCACGGCGCAGGAGCTGGTCTCTGGGCTGCCTGGAGGAGTTGCAAGTTAGAGCTTGTGGGACGTATGAGAGGGGTGGAGATTTGGAAGGGAAGGACGGCAGGCAGGGCCGCCTGAGGGAGGCAATAAAATGCTGCACAGGCAGTCCACTACAATGGAGAGCACAGAGTTTGTTAAATAAGTCGCATCTGATTTTGCAATCTACCACCGTGGTTAAGCGAATCACTGCGGTTGCTAAGCAAATCATCCACCTTACCACCCTATTGACTTTGTCGGAAGCCAGCTGGGAAGGTCGCAGAAGAGGACCATGTGATCCCAGGACACTGCGACTGTCGTAAACACATGCTGGTTGCCAATTTTGTTGACCTGGCCGTGGGAATGCTCCCATGATGGTTGCAAGCGAGATCAGTTGCAAGTCATTTTTTTCAATGCTGTTGTAACTTTGGGCCACTAAATGAACGGTTGTAACTTGGGGACTATGGGATGGTCAACGTGTTCTAGCCCAAAGTAGACTTTCTTACGGATGGGGGGCACATTTGCTTCTTAATCTGGTCGCACCCAGGCGCTGCTCCTGGAAGGAAGCCCGGGGGGGTGGGGGGATCAGGCTGGGCAACCTGGGGAGGGGCTCTGACCCCGGCATATGCCACCTGTGCTGTGTGCTTAGGACTCGAGCCTCCCGGTGGGCGCCTTCGTCTGGGAGGTGGAGAATGAGAGTGCAGAGGAAGTGGAGGTCTCCATCATGTTCACCTTCCAAAACGGCACAGAGACCAAGGACGACCGCCAGGGCGGCCACTGGAACGAGCCCTTCAGCGTGGAGAAGGAGGGCTGCTGCGTCCGTGGGGTGATGCTGCACCATGTGACCCCTGCCAACCCCTACACCCTGGCCATCTCTGCCCGGGAGAAGGTAGATGTCACGGAGACCCCCGCAAGAGTTAGGAATGGTCCATGGGCAGCAGCTGGGACCAGAGCCTTCCACGTCCTTTGGGGCTCTCTTGCAGGCTGGCAGGGAGGCTTCTTGGAGTGGCAGCGGTGACCCATTGTGGCTTCTTTGCCACGTCTCTCCTTACGAGGCCCTGAGATGGGGTGGGTGAATTCCCCACCTCTGGTGTCTCTGGACTCTAGAAGGCCCCCTTCCTAACGCCTTCTCCCCATCTTGTAAGCCTGTTATGGAAACTGCCCTCCCATCTCCCATGGCTGCCCTGCTCCCCTGCTCCTCCCCGCCTCTCCCTTCACTCCTGTCCCGCTGAGGCAAAGCTGGAGAGGGAGAGAGGGGCCTGGCCTATCCTTCCCCTCTCTTGTTCCCTCCTTTCTTGATTTCCCCTCTTGATTCCTCCTCAGGCAGGTGTCACTGTTACCCACTTCACGGCGTTCAACCCTGCTGGCACTGGGCAAGAGGTTTGGCAGGATCTCTTGGCAGATGGCCAGCTGGAATCTCCTCAAGGTGAGCTCTGGGCAATAAGGTGGGCAGAAGAAGGCAGAAGGACAGGCTCCTGATGCTCACGGCTCTCTTGTAGGTCAGAGCCCCCCTACGGAGAAAGGGGAGGTGTGTGCAGCAGCCGTGTGTGCCACGTGCGTGGTGGCAGCTCACGGCCACGGAGTGCTGGAACTGGGCCTGGCCTGGGATATGCCTCGTGTTCGCTTTGGATCGGCGGAGAAGGAGCATCGCCGGTGGGTGCCTGCTGGGAAGGGCTGGCTCCCGGGGGTTTCTCTGCTTTGGGTTTGGGCATACTTGGGCAACCCACACAGCTCTGCCTGTGGGGGGGGTCTCCAGGGGTGAGCCGCCATGCAGCACACTCATGAAGCCAACCCTAACCTGATCTAGAAGATGGGGCTGTCTCAGGATCAAACTGTGGGCTGGAGGGGGCAGCCCTGCTTGGTGCAGACATCCTACGGCCTGTGGGGTTATCCGACCCTTTGGCTGTCCCTGTCCAGCCTGTGGGGTGGGGGCAAAAGCCATGACAGCAGCCCCACAACAGTCCCAGTTTCCCAGGCAACCTCTTGGGAAAATTGCTTCCCTTCCCCCCCCCCATCTGGAGGGTCCCCTGTGTGTGACGGGGACGTGGCCTCTGGGTGGGCTATCTTTGCTTCCTGACTGATGCTCTGGCTGAGGTCCGTCTTCCTCTCTGCCTGCAGGTGGTACACCCGCTTCTTTGGCAGTGATGGGAACGCCTGCCCGGCACTCTCCCACCATCTCTTCAGCCGCTACAAGGTCTGGGAGGAGAAGATTGAGGCCTGGCAGGGCCCGATTTTGGAGAACAGGTAGCACCCTGCGGCTGAGAGGCTTCTGAGGTGCCGGAAGGTGCCCATGCCAGAGTTTTCCCACACTCCCTCTGCTGAGGTGCCTCCATGATCCACTCCAGCCAAACTAAGCTACTTCCAGGTTGTCTCCTCCCCCCCCGTTCCCTCCCCCCCACCTGTGGCTGTCCAGACTCTATGAGCGATGGGGACTGCCTCATTCCTGTTGAGTGGGTGACTGCACCCAGGCTCTCCCTGGGTCACCAAGCCAGGTGGGCAGGCCCCCCAGGGGTCTGTGGGCAGACTGAGATTGCCCCTGAGAGGAAGCCCCACTGAGGACCCGCACATGCCTCTTGCAGCAACCTGCCCCCTTGGTACAAGTCAGCCCTCTTCAATGAGCTGTACTTTCTGGCCGACGGAGGCACCCTCTGGCTGGAGCTACCACCCGAGGACAGAGACGCCCTGCGGGACACCCAGGGCCTCTCCCAGCTGCTCCCGGTCTTGCAAGAGTACGGGAGGTTTGCTTATCTGGAAGGTGAGGTTTTGCTTTGGGGCCCGGATGGGGGGGGTATCCTGGCTTCCTCCTGGAGGGAGCTCCAGGTGCTTCTGGCATGCCAGTGTGATGCGCAGCTGCCACTACTTTCTGCTTCCAGGCCAGGAGTACCGGATGTACAACACCTACGACGTACACTTCTACGCCTCCTTTGCGCTCGCCATGCTGTGGCCTAAGCTAGAGCTCAGCCTGCAGTACGATGTGGGTAGGTGCCTTCCCTTGAGCTTTGAATATTGGAGTGCCCTTCAGCCAGCATTGGAAGAGCTCTGGGCTGGAGGGGTGCCCCTGGCAGGGATGGGAGGGAATGCCCACCCCCTTGAGCTGTGTTGAATGCTCCTGATGGCCTGGCCTGTGCTTGGCTGGGTGTTTGGGCTGCTGCTAACATCCCTGCCCTGCCCTGCCCCAGCTGCTGCGGTGCTGAACGAGGATGCTCACCCTCGGCAATACCTCATGAGCGGACAGACGGCCCCAGTGAAGCTGCGCAATATGGTTCCGCATGACATTGGAGACCCAGGTAAAGCACTTCGTGTCTGGATGCAGGTCAGGCCTCGTTCTGCAGCTGCACGGTCTGAAGATAGGCGAGCTCACAGCAATTGC